ATATCAAAAGACACTCGGGTGAGATTCTCTATATCTTGGCACAAAGGATCCCATGCACAACTACAGCGAATCGTTACACTCCTCCAACTGACATTTGCTCTCATGAAAAATCGGTATAATTCTGACATCAGACAGGGCGGGACCTGCTTGTCTGTCTCACACTCCACGAATCACAGTATTTACCTTTTCGCCGTGCACTTTCTGAAGCAAGTCTAGATTTCCACAGGTTCAGGTAATCTCCCATTTATCTGTGCCTCCTTTGAAATTTAAATGTAGTTGCTTATGTTAGTCTCGGAGGCGACGGGAACAATCCATCATCAAGCGGTTGTCGACGATGTTTTCCAGGATGAAATTAACACTTTGTTTACAAAACGGCGTGACAACTCGTGCTTGATTCGATCATGCACCCTAGTTAGGTGTAGCACTAAACATGACCATACCGTATTCAACGTAATAAGCGCGCCGCTCTAATAAGCGCCCACGGCGATATTTACTCATATATTGGCTAGTGAACGATCCCAATAAGCACCCCTTCCGATTGATCAATGTACACAAGACCTATTTATAATACGCACTCGTGTCTAATATGCACCCTTAATTATGATGTGACGTTTGGAGACAGTATATACAATGATACTTGAAGCATCATTCCTTCGGGAAAATGACATGCGTGGACAGTACCGTTTCAATTGTGAAGCGTTTGTAAAATCTTCTCCACTACCCATGAAGGGCAGCATGTTGGATTGCCAGGAAGAGCATGGCCGTTGCGTGTTTGTCGTTTGATGTCGCACTCAGCAATATCCCAGCTAAATGACGGCGGTCTGTAAATAATCGAGTCTGGACCAGACAGGTCACACACTATATAAACCCTTGCCTCTTTCTGCGTTTCGACAAGAAGCACTATGTGCCGGGATTCCGTTCTTCGTTTAGGCACTGGTAGTCATGACATAATATACCAAAATCGTCATTATCTACGAAATGAGTGAGTGAGTGAGTTTGGTTTTACGCCGCTTTTAGCAATATTCCAGCATTATCACGGAGGGGGTCACCAGATATGGGGTTCACACATTGTACCCATGTCGGGAATCGAACCTGGGTCTTCAACGCGACGAGCAAACGCTTTAACCACCAGGCTACCCGACCTCCCCTCTACGCAATGAAATACTCCCCTCTCAAGCTTTCGTCACCCAACACCTCGTGTTAATTCCTTGATCAAACAACACCATTGTTTGTTTGTTTCTTTGTGTTTAAAGTCACAATATCCCAGCTGTGTGACGGGAGACTTGAGTCTGGACCAGACAATTTCGGGGTTTTATATTGTGACCATTGCTCACGGGAGGACGATGCCAGGCAATCAACCAAGTCATCGAATCTGACAACCTGATTCATTTTGTCGCCCCTGACAAGCACGAGTTCCAGGCCATGGGACTGTCAACTCGATTTGTCAGACTCGATTTTTTAGAGACCGCTGTCATATAGCTGGAATATTGCAGAGTGCGGCTTTAAACAACAAGCAAACAAACAAAGCATCAGACCAATCACTGGCTTGTCTGGTCCATATACAAACCGGCATCATATAACTGGAATATTGCTTAGTGCGCTGTCAAACAACAAACAAACATGTCATGTCACACTTTCAGGGTTTCAAATACATTTAAAACTGAACAACTAACAAAATAACGGTAATTTTATGAACAAGTAGAACAAATATGACATGTTATGAGCAATTGTTTAAAAAAAATGCATGTACATTCTATTCAGTTACCCATAAGTCACACAGGCGTTTGTGAATACAATTACAAATAGATCACGGCAGCCTCAGAACGATGCCGAGACAAGCTGTACGGAGTTGCCTCCCTTAACCAAGCGCACGCTTGTCGCGACTGCCAGTGAATCCCATCTTAGCATGACTCAAAACACATCTGTGACGTCATTCTATTGTTGAAACGCTCCATTATTTTTTAGGAATGGACAGTTGTTTGTTCAATTATACCAATCCTGAACCAACTTTTCAAGTAATTTTCACTTTGTATAGACTGAGCTATTTTCTTTATATTTGACAAATGAATGATTTCAAATTTGGTCAGATAACATACGTCGCCAAAGGGGTTCGAACCCACATCGTTTGATTAGAGGACGCCTATTTTTGACCTCAGAAATGACGACACATGACGGTAAGGTGTGAAACTATCAAATATTGTTTTTCAAATATTTGCATAAGGTAAAGAAAAAAATGTATAGAGTGTTGAATTACAGCAGGTTACCTTTTACAATGTTCACATGTAAAGCAATTAGAATCACCTTTCACGAGAAAAACAAATGAGGAACAAACCATACATACCCTTGTTAAGGGCTCTATACGTCCTATAATCCCCGTTAACATGTATTGACAATGTGCAAGCGATTGATAAAATACTAGTTCAGGACCCGACGAAATTATGATGAGCCGTGTACCATGCATTGTAAATATCAGCTCGATACGTAGCGAGGTGCACGTGCAACAGCGGCAGAGAACGTATTCCTCGTGCATCACGCAAGGGTGACTCACGGAGTATAAATACAGTCTGCGTGTTGGTGGGTTTAACAGAGGACTTGCTTCTCCGTTGTGTGAATACTTCATCATCATTTATTTATTTTTTTATCTCCAGTGCTGCTAGTCGGTGTCATACATATATTATTTCCTTGTACATTGTTTTTTGTTCCTTGTTTCACGTCCATAGATGTTAGGACGCTGAGCAAGAAAGGCTGGAACGATACAGTGTTTATTTAATATATAAAATATGATATCAACAATGGCTTGCGGCATATACAAGTTTATTTTATACAGTAGATATACATATATACATATATAACAAAAATTCCTGTGACACCAATATTTCAGTGTATTTTTCAAACAAGTAAAGTTTGGTTTTCAATATTGTAGTACATGTATGGAATCAAGTCACAAAAACGCAACTGCTACAGAAAAGCATGCATTCCATGCAAAAGTTGACTTTTATGCAAGCCCCATGCATTTCACTACCTAAGAATGGGTATAAAAACGTGCGTTAACGGGATTCCATATGCACTGTTAAGCATCGTGCTGACAACAACCACTCAGAAAAATAACAAAATTACGCAACATTACGAAATGCCACGCTTGTCCGAAAATGAGCGTCTGCGAGCCATTGGTATGCATGAAGCAGGATCGAGTCAACGTGATGTTGCAATACAATTTAACGTCCACAGAAACACCATTTGGTGTTTATGGCAACGTTGGCAACAAACGAATGCAGTCAGAAACCATCCTCGTAGTGGCAGGCCACGCGTAACCAATAATCGACAAGACAACTGGACCTACGAAATCGATTCCAGCCAGCAACAGTGACTGCAAGAAGCATCCCTGGCCTTCGACGAATATCTTCACAAACCGTACGTCGTCGCCACAGATGCGCAGGGATTGTCGCAAGAAGACCCGCCAGACGTCCCATTTTGACAGGAAACCAACGTCAAGCAAGTCTACAGTGGTGCAGACTGTGTCTACGCTGGACGGCCATGCAGTGGAGACAAGTTCTATTCACTGACGAGACTCGTTTTTACCTCAGCCACAGCGATGGACGGATTCGAGTGTACCGACGTCGAGGTAAACGTTACGTCAATCATTGTCTCATGAAAGAAGATCGGTTCGGGGGCGGCCGCGTTATGATCTGGGGTGGGATTACAGCAAGACAGAGGACCCGTTTGATAGTGGTAGAGGGAAATCTCAATGGACAGCGCTACCACGACGAGATCATCTGCTCTGTTGTTCTACCGTTTTTGCGTCGTCATGGCCCAGGCGTTACCTTTCAACATGACAACGCCCGGCCTCATATTGCTCGACTTGTTCTGGATTCTCTTCAACAAAACAACGTGAATGTCATCCCCTGGCCGGCTCGCTCCCCTGATCTCTCACCAATTGAGCACATGTGGGATGACATGGATCGGAACATAACTTTGAATTCAATCTTATTCAACGTCACAGCAACTTTTGTTGTTCAGTATAGTTTATAAGAAATAATATCAGTGAGTGAAAGATGTAAATGATAAATTCGGAAATAGTCCCCAAAAGCATTCATAAACTATTTATAATTATATCAGAATTGTTTCAGCAAAGGACAGTCAGATGACCAGTAAGCACATATATATTAATGTGCAAGCACTTAACGTTTCAGCAAGCAATATTAAAACAACTGACTGGCTCGTAAAGGGTTATGATAACCCTTCCTCTGGATACTCGTTGTGATAAGAAATACTGAGTATAAATATCCACCATAGTTGAAACTATGGATACGTTGTATTGACTGATATAAATGAGTTTATCTGGAGTAGTCGGATATTTTAATATATAAGGTCTGTAATAACTGACTTCTCTAGCAATAAGAGAATGACGCAGCATCCCGGCAATTAATACCCCTATTTGCTCTTCTAATCAAACAATACAAACACGATTTGGCCAGCTGACAGACCCAAATGCAGACATGCAACCATGGATTTGAGCAACAGTGTTCCTTTCTTACATCCGATCTGGATTGCCTATTGAATTTGATTCTTTAGTTTGGGTTGTTGTTTAACGCCGCACGCAGCAATATTCCAGCGGCGGTCTGTAAATAATCGAGTCTGGAAAAGACAATCCAGTGATCGGCATCATGAGCAGTCTGCGAGCCTGACCACCTGATCCCGCTAGTCGCCTCTTGCATAGTCGCTTTTCACTGCAAGCATGCGTTGCTGAAGACCCGGATGTTCACAGGTACTATCGAATTTGAATTAGACCCGTGAAGATTTCCGGGGTAGAATAGGTCTTCAGCAACCCATGCTTGCCGTAAAAGGCGACTATGCTTGTCGTAAGAGGCGACTAACAGGATCGGATGGTCAGGCTCGCTGACTTGGTTGAAGCATGTCATCGGTCCCAATGGCGTGTATCGATGCTCATGATGTCAATCACTGGATTGTCTTGTCCAGACTCGATTTTTTTCAGACCGCCGTCATATATATCTGGAATATTGCTGAGTGCGGCGTTAAACAACAAACAAACGAATTTGAATTCAGTGATTGTTCAATACAAGAAACATACATGTCAATGTTCAACTTCGCATCAGATTAACAATGCTGTCTATCAGTGTCGTTTTCTCAGTAAACGACTAATCTGTTCACATTACATGTTAAATGAGTACATCCTCAATACCAGTACGACCAGTTCTGATGAGATTAACAACAGAAAGCACCAGTTTCAGCATCCTCTTTGCGTTGTCCAGCTGTGTGGGGTGGCCCATGACAAAGTGGTTCCAGGGTCTAGTTAACATGGTTCATTTGTTTCTCTGCATCTGCTAGTTGAGTGGAGTTGTCCCCGGTATCGAGGCGGGGGTCAAGTAAACATGATTGTCGTCCTTCTCTGCATCTGCGAGTTGAATACAGTTGTCCCTGGTATCGAGGCTGGGGGTCAAGTAAACATGATTGACTTCCTTCTCTGCATCTGCGAGTTGAATGGAGTTGTCCCCGGTATCGAGGTTGGGGATCCAGTAAACATGATTGTCTTCCTTCTCTGCACCTGCGAGTTGAGTGGAGTTGTCCCCGGTATCGAGGTTGGGGATCCAGTAAACATGATTGTCTTCCTTCTCTCCATATGCTAGTTGAGTGGAGTGGTCCCCGGTATCGAGGCTGGGGGTCCAGTAAACATGATTGTCTTCCTTCTCTGCATCTGCAAGTTGAGTGGAGTGGTCCTTGACAGCGTGGCTGGATTTCCAGCAAACAGGATTGTCTTGCATCTCTGTCATTAAATATTAGATGAACAATGAATTGAGTTTTGTATCTAGCGTCTGAGGTTTGTATCATAACGTCTTGTAAAGAAACTATCATGTTAACATTGTGACCAACACTTCCACGTTAAGTTACTTGTTCCATCTAGCATATTTTCTACTCTTGTATCAAGGGCGGTTAGCCCAGTTGTTAAAGCGTTCCTTCGTCACGCCGAAGATCTGGGTTCGATTCCCGACATGCGTACATTGTGTGAAGCCCATTCTCGGTGTTGCCCGCCGTGATATTATTGGAATATTGCTAAAAGTGGCCTAAAACCAAACTCACTCACTCACTACTCTGGTATAACGATCACGCTGGCGACAACTACTGGGACACGTTCGAGCTAACTAAATGCTAACAGACACAGGCATCCCTGCTTACCAATTTTTTCCTGTTCTTCGGCATCTTCTGATTGTGACGACGTGCTTTTGGCAGCTTGCATGGACGTCCGATGGGCCGGATTGTCCTGCATCTCTGACAACACCAAGTAACATGTCCCTATATAAACAGAAGGTGCAGATGGTGGGGATGGACGGGCGTTTATGTGGATTAGGCTTAATCTGCCACCACCCATCCCCTCTAAAATGAACGGGGTAATATTTGGATGCATTTTTCCCCGCTCAATACGGGTTATCTACGACATAGACTAAAGAACCCGATGCAATATGAGTTAGTTGTGTTTAACGCCGTTTTCACAGTATTCCAGTTATATCACGTCGTGTCAGCTTAATGTGGGAGGAAAGCCCGAAGTGATTCAGGTCTTAGACGTTTACCAATTCGTGAAATCCACGTGCACGGGTATGGTGCTGACAGACCTAGAAACATAATCGGGAGAACCGGGATTCGAAACCACAATCATAGGTTTCTGGCGTGCCCAAGGGAAGCAACTGTGCACAGAGAATCGCGGCGCCTTAGACGGCTGGGCCACGCGTGTAATATCTGCTTTCATCTGTTATCTACACCACTACGGTACCTCATCACACTTTATTGTCGTAAAGGTGACTATGCTTGTCGTAAAAGGCCACTAACGGGATCGGGTGGTCAGGCTTGCTGACTTGGTTGATGCACGTCATCGTATCCCAATTGCGTGTATCGATGCTCATGATGTCAATCACTGGATTGTCTGGTCCAGACTCGATTATTTACAGACCGCCGTCATAGGGCTGGAATATTGCTGAGGGCGGCGTTAAACAACAAACAAACAAACAAATCATGTATTTTTTTGTAAATATTAGAACATTGTATTACCAAGTATGTCTTCCTGTGAATCCGATCGACTTCTGAAAAGATCATTTTTGAAATACATTAAGTGTCACGAGCTTAGTTGATACTTGATACACGCATAACAATAAGAGAGGATAGCATATGAACTGTTCTCTTTCCTACAACACTTTCAAGCCTAAACCTACCATATAGACACACACACACACACACACACACACACACACACACACACACACACACACACACACACACACACACACACACACACACCAACGCTTTACATCCGATTGATTCTCCTGAGTGGTGTTATCATCATGTTGCATAGCCACCGTTCACTAATATCATCTTTTGGACACGTTATAGTGAGGGATGTTATCAAGTTTATGACAAGAAGCTACTTACTTCTGTATTGATCGTGGTAGGTTTCCTAAAATAAGAAGAATAAATGTAAAACAAGAAACAGAAGTTCACTAGAGAGTTACAGGAAATGACAAATTGACGTAAACAGGATTGACTTGCATCTTTGTCACTAAACATTTTATGAAAAGTGCATTGGGGTTTGTATCTAGGATCTGAGGTTTGTATCATAGGTCCTGTAAAGTAATTACTGGACTACAAGAAGTTCAAGAAATGACGAGTTTTTATTACACTGGGTCCGAATTACTTCCAAGTATTCAGTGAAACATGGAGGTCAGATAACTTAGCTGATTGAATGTCAACTACTGCCCTGCTCGATTATATAGAGGCCATCGTTAATAGGCCACGTGTCTTGAAGTTGTTTCCTGCTTGCTGCTTTCTGAAGCATTGCAATAATATCACACCAGGGAGTAACCCGGATATTTTTCATAAAACGTCCTTGTTAATAACTAAAACCTAAAAATAACAGTTACTTTTCCTTGATGTTCGGTTTCTCCACACCAGGAATATGACCAGAGATACCACAGCAAGTCCACCCAGTGCCCCAGGCAATATGATGTACCACTGTGTGTCATCCGTCTCCTCTCTGTTTGTCAGGTTAACCTGTGTGACAGATGTCATTCTCTGCTCACTGGAGCTGGGGCTGTACACAGGTGTTGAGAGTCCCTTGGTCACTGAAGCCACTGATTCAGTAGAATACAATGTTGTTGATGGGGGTTGTGTAGTTGTTGTAGTTGTTGATTGGGGTTCTATAGTTGCTGTGGTTGACGTTGAACTAGAAACTGCGGTCGAAGATTATGGTCAGTATATGTTAATTTGTTTGTAGAAGGTTAGAGGATGACAAGTAAAAATAATATGGTGACAGAACGCAATAAACAAGGTAGATAATGTGTGTCAGTAAGAGTCATGAGTAACATTTGTTCAAGACTTGTTAATATTAGTTACAGTTAAATAACAATTGATGACCTATTCGACAATCACTTACATACACATTTACATGTACACACACACATGTACGTACAGACATGTACAGGTACCCACGCACGCACACACTCACACATATACAAACACACTCATACACACTTACACACACTCACACCCACCAACACCCACTCACACATACACACTTACACTCATATAGTCTCACTCACACATACACACATACACACACACAAACACACATACATACATACATACATACACACACATACATACATACATACATACATACATACATACATACATACATACATACATACATACATACATACACACACACACATGCATACACACGTACACCTGCATACAACCGCACACACATGCACACGCGCACGCGCACGCACACGCACACGCACACACAAAGACACAATCACACACACTAACATACATATGCATACACATACACACACATGCACACTCTTACACACACACACACACACACACACACTCACACTTCTTACACACACATATACACTTACACACATACACACACTCACGCATACATACATACATACAAACAGACACTCATACACACACACTCACACACATACACAATCACACATACACACTCACACACATACACACACACTAGCAAACACACGAACAGCTCCCTCCCACATGCCTCACATTGATAATACCTGCTTGTACTTCCAACTTAATGCTTTTGTGAGACATCCCAGACCGACACGTCCATTCTTTTGAATCTTCCCGGAGAACACCCTGTATCACAATGGTCGACGATGTTCGGTTGCATTCAAAATGCCTCTGTCCGCCTATATCAATTTGTCCCTGTGTGACGTTGCATTCGGTTTTTTCATCATTGAAGATTGTTGTAGCAAGGAAACCACCCTTATACCAAGTCACTGCCATGAGATTTCTCCCTTGTCCAGAGTAACAGGTGAGGGTGACGTCTGTCCCCTCTCTGACGACTAGTGTGTGTTGGCTGGTTGGCTCCATCAATACTGCAGTATAATGCGATGTGTAAGTGTACCAGGTTTTATTGGCACCAGATCATACCTAATATCAGTTAAAAGAATACATATTGATAACATGTTAAACTTAATGTACATCATCTCAAAGCTCATCAACTTTTAGGTGATCTCCATATGAGGTTGGTTGGATGGTTGGTTTATTGTTTTACGCCGCACTCAGCATTATCCATATGAGGTCAACGTCACAATAAATCAAATTTTGTAACATATTTCACACTTCTCGAAATGTGGGATAATTTCATTACAAATCTAAGCATTTTTCAGTCAATTGTGATGGACTTTCAATAATTAACTCAATACCTGCCCTATGTCATAGTTGTGACACATTTACTCATGACATGACTTAAGGAAGTTGTATTCATCATTTTCGCTGAGCTTTATTTTCAGAAGTCCTTTTTATACTTATGCTCTGTATAACATAGTAAATACTTCACCGCAGAATCCAAACACGTATGAAGTGTGTTCGTGATGTATTTTTACGAACGTAATGGGTCTTATCTCCTCTATAGTCTACAGTCATATAACCTGCCGTTTCCAGTAACACTGTGAAATGAATAATCCAGATATGTGCAGCGATGCAAATGTTAAAACTGGCAAATAGTTTCAGGGTCATTCTACCTACCCCTTTTTCATAGTTCCCTTTTTGAGTGTTGAAACCGTGGATACCGAAAATCAGCAGTTACTTACCTGATTCGGAGTCGCCATTTTTGTTTACAAATTTGCGTGTATATCACGTGATTTTGATACGCGTTCTGATAGGTTGCATATGTACAACTTGTCGCATGAAAATACAACATGTCCTGTTTCATACAATTCACGTCCAACAAGTCGCATACGTGAAAGCGTGGTCCGACTTACACAACAAGTTGTACCGTGTGAATGCCCTTTAACGCCGCAGTTCTAAAATACGTTGTCCAGGAATTCACGTGAGCTTCAAGGCAAATATGCTCCTATAAATTCAGTCATGAATATCAAAATACGTGGCTTTCGGGGAAATGTATCCAATGGGAAGTATTTCCGATGCTATTACCTTCTTCCTGAAGCTAGGGCGGTCGGGTAACCTAGTGGTTAAAGCGTTCGCTCGTCACGCCGAAGACCTGGGTTCGATTCCCGACTTGGGTACAATGTATGAAGCCCATTTCTGGTGTCCCCCGCCGTGATATTGCTGGAATATTGCTAAAAGCGGCGTAAAACCATTCTCACTCACTCACTGACTCTTCCTATAGCTTGAAAACAACAGTGTAATAATTACGCATATTTTGAGTTCTCATTATTACGACTATTTTTATTATTTACAAGATAAGTATGCTCGATTCGTTATTCGGATTCTGGCTCATTGTAGTAGGACAAAGAACAACTTGTCAATTGCCGCTCACTGTTAGGATTCGTCGTGATTAAGTTGAACACAATGAGTTAACACCCATTAACTGACCTTTGTGAACATGGCTCTAGGGATGTGATAAACACATCATTTAGTACTGCACACACCTTTGTGTTACTATCAATGTCAAAATCAGCCAATGTTTAGGAAATGACACGAAATGTTGATCTACTCGCTCAGATATTATATTGGAATACGACCGAAAATTCCATTGATTTACTAGTATTTGACAGATTGACTGATTCGTAAGTGAAATTCGATTGCGAACTATATCACATTGGAAAGGTAAAGAGGTAATGCTTCTTCTATAACATTTGGCAGTGACGTCATATATCGTATTGGAAAGGTAAAAAAATATATAGTTTGGTTTTTCAATAACGCATGACAGTAAACAACATTAAGCGTACTGGAAGGTTAAAATTTAGTGGCTGTTCTATAATAACATGTACAACATTACTGTACAGTAAACTATGTTTATAACGAACACACTTAAATGAACTGACAGATATAACGACTTTTTTTTGGTCCCGGCCATTTGCTGTATATGTGTATGTGTGTATATGTGTTGTACATAGGCATATAACGAACTGCAGTTATAACGAACTAAAATTAGTGACCCCTTTGAGTTTGTTATAACCGTAGTTTACAGTATATATTAATTTATATCTGGATATGTTAATCTTGATTTGTAGCTGTTGCTACACTTAATACAGCTCTAAAATATTTTCATCTGTTTGCCTGGTACTGACTGTGCAGCTAGCGACACATAACGTTATCTTTATACGGCGTGTGCAATCCCGCTACTTTCTCTCTACACGTAGAACATCTGACACATGTGTGTGCTTAGTTGAAATTGATTCTGTGATAGCATCCTATTAGTATTTTGTAAGGTGTTGTTCATTGTGGCGACTTTATGTGTATATTTTGTTTAGTGTAGTACTCACTCTTCCGATGGTAGATGACGAGATGGTGGAAACACAAATACGTACAGCTGTCAGCTTATGACACATATATTGCAAAAGCTCATAGGCTAGCTAAGGCTGGTAGACTGTCAGGCGGTGTAACGTTGTTGGTTAAGACTCGTATAGACCTGCACTGCCAACAGATTGAATTAGATATACACAATGTCGTATGCATTAAATTTGATAATTTCTCAACTCTTGGCAAAAACCTGTTATTATTTGGAATGTATGTTCCACCCATCGGCTCAACATTCTACGTTGCAGCTGAAAAGGCAACCGCCATTGAATTGGTTGACCAGTGGTTGATTGAGCATAGTGACTTAGACTGTGAGGTCATTATCTGTGGGGACCTGAATGCCCGTCTAGGCGGGGGAAACAACCCACCTGAGACACTAACTCAGCGTGGCCTCAACAATGCAGCATTCCCCGATGAACCACCCGTTCCAGTAGAAAAGAGACAGTCATGTGATAGTTTTGTAAATGCTTTTGGTCGTAAGCTACTGGAACTGTGTTTCACTCATGATTTATATATCTTCAACGGCAGGACAACTGGAGACAAAGAGGGTAGTTTCACTTACATAGCAGATCAAGGATGTAGCGTAATCGATTATTTTATAGGTTCAGTTAATGTTCACAATTGTTGTCAATCCATGTTTGTGGATACAAGAGTTGAGTCAAAACATATGCCTGTATGTCTACATTTGGACATATTTCTCCCTAAAGCATCTACAAGTGATGATTATCTTTCCACCAAAACACACAAATATAAATGGAACCCTCGTAAGCGTGATGTGTTTATAGGAAGTATAACAAATCTATGTCCATCCTTCAATGAGCTCATCGATCTTTTAACTTTTGATTTCAATCTTGCCCTCGAAAGATTTGTTAATGTTGTTCTTTGTGCCGCTGACTGTATGAAGGTACCTTGTGTTAAAAGTTCACCCCGAAATACGGGGTTTTATAATAGTGAATGCAGACGAGCAAAACGGGAAGCGAGGCGATACATGAGGAAATTCAAAGAGAAGAAATCTAACGAAAATAAGTTAATCTTTTGTAAAATGAGAAACAAGTATAAACATGTTTGCAGAACAGCAAAATCAAACTATCAATTTATGACACGAACAAAACTAAAGCTATCTCTATCTGATTCAACCACATTTTGGAAAGAGTTACGGAGTATATCAGGTCGTAGGGAAACAAAGAATAACATAAGTAAAGAGTGCTGGTTTGATCATTTTACAAACGTTTTTCAGTGTACAGATGTATTACATGCTGAAGTCGAATGTCAATGTGATGAAGATTTTATACTTGATGAGATTGACCAGTGTATTTTGGAGTCGCCGATTACCGACTCAGAAATCCACAAGGCTATAAATCGTTTAAAGAATGGCAAATCCCCTGGTGTTGATGACGTGGTCATTGAATTGTTAAAATGTTGTGAAAATGTAATAACTCCTTTCCTACGAAATTTGTTCAATAAGTTATTTGATTCTGGATTATTCCCTCAGAACTGGACGAAAGCTATTATCCTTCCACTACATAAGAAAGGTAACAAAAATAATCCAGATAACTTTAGAGGGATATCTCTATTGTGTACAATTAGTAAGGTTTACACAAGTGTCTTAAACTCTAGACTTACAAACTGGGCTAATATAAGAAGTAAATTACCCGAGACACAAGCAGGCTTTAGACAGGGATATTCTCCTGCTGACCACATATTCACGTTGAATGCAATTGTTAACAAATGTTTATCGAAAAGAAAAGGGAAATTATACGTAGCTTTTGTGGATTTTAAAAAAGCCTTTGATTCAGTAAATCATCTTAAACTATGGGAGTGTCTGCACGATGTAGGCTTGGGTGGAAAGATGATGAGAGCACTTAAGGGAATCTATGCCTCCGTGAAAGCGTGTGTGAGATGTAATGATAACATTTATACAGAATATTTTGATTGTCCTAACGGAGTTAAACAAGGCTGTATATTAAGCCCTCTATTATTTTCCTTTTTCATCAATGAACTGTCAAATGATGTTTCATCACATGGGAAACACGGGGTACAATTATTTCCTGACTTGTTTGAAATATTATTATTATTGTTTGCCGACGATGTTATTCTTGTCTCTGACACAGTAACTGGTTTACAGAACCTACTTAATATTCTTGATAACTTTGCAGATTCACATGGATTAACGGTTAATTTAGATAAAACGAGTGTTGTTGTATTTAGACGAGGAGGGCGGTTATCTGTTCATGAGAAATGGTTCTATAAAGGCAAACGTATTTCAACCGCCAACTCCTATAGATATCTTGGGTTTGTATTCTCATATACATCAAAGATGAACCAATGTGTTTCAGATCTAGCGTCAAGGGGTAAACGAGCTTTAATGGAAATATTTCGCAATCTACGGAAGATTGGTTTTGTTGACACTTCAGTTTTCTTTAAAATATTT